TTCTCGAGTAGGATGTTCCTCGTTGAAACAGAAGACGGAACTAGAGGGGTGGTAAACTAACCGCGAGGGTCCATCATGGATAAAGCACTCCACACAGTCCTCGTGTTCTCCTTTGCTCTCCCAATGGACCAATTTACGGCACCCTGAGGACTCCGAGCATTACGCTTCACGCTCGGGAGTTCGTTTCTGGCCATTGTTGCGCCAGTCAGGGGATTATTTCGGTAAGGGACGAGGGATGCAGTCGTTCGCCTGTTTCGCTCAGCTACTCCCGGATTATACATTTCCCCAAGCACCTGCACCTAGGCTAAACTGTCCAGCGTGATTTTTCCCGAAAGTGAGAAAGTAAAAAGTTAAAAAAAGAGAAGAAGAAAAAACCCGCCGGGGTCCACGGGTTATCTTCATTGATTAATTCGCCTTCGATATCGGGAGGAAAACCATTTAACGTAATTAGCTACTTCGCTCAGAGTTCAGACCCTCTGTATTCCCTCTGGCTAGTCGGCTATCGAGGGACCCATTAAAAACTCTTACAAATAGCAATTATAAACGGGAAGCTCCGACGATAGAGGAACGTTCGTTCATTTAATTATCTCCGTCTTATTGGGTAGAAAACTAGGCAAGCGTGCACGACCGAATCGTTTTATCGGTATCCATTCCATGAAACTTAACAGAGGAAGATTGTCGTTTTTACGTCCTCTCCGAGTTCTTATCAAAAGCGAGCTGTCTATAATATTATTCCTCCTCTTTTTTTCCCCTCTTCTCTTGTTTTACGACTGTTCGATACCCAACATTCCATTTTCATAGACAAGATTTTTATGATCATACCATGACTCATATACAGTAATACTGAAGTGGTGTTGTAAGTGAATCTTCGTAGCATCAATTCAGGAAATAATAGAGGAGATAAAACGAAAAATGCTTAATTTCTCTAATGACTTCTGTCAAAAGTATATCCCAAAAAGATTGTCATTTTAAAAAAACATCCGTGTCAGATATCTCTTGTACGTAGATGACGTAAATACGTATATAGATATACTATAGTCTACAGTGAAAGCTGCTGTAAATGTCGAATAAAAGTTATAGGAGCTTCCGATTTATCCATACTGCATTGAAGCCGATATGACACTCTTTTCGATACAGTAGATCGGCACTAGAGAAACGACTCTTTCCCATCATCGCGTTCGTTCAATTAATCGTTCCACGTAATTGCATCAACGGTACAAAGGTATGGAACGCATGTTTCCAGCCTGTGATAGAACCATGACGTTCACAAAAACTGATGAATTAAGTGGAATGAACGAATAAATGGTGAAAGAAATATGTACGCAAACGTGAACATGAAGCAGAGTAACGCTAGTGGAACGAGGAAGAACGTAGAAATTAAAACAATCGACTTCTCCCCCACCCCGTTTCTCTTTCACCCTGATGAACAAGAAGCAGCAGCGTGTAATTACCGCGTGCGGGAACACGAGATCGCGATTCCACTCGACCAGGAAACGTATAATGGGAGTATAATGCGTGAAATTTACCGGGCGCATCAGCATAATGACGCCCAAGATATCACTGTGATTCCATATTTCCGTGCCGACAGCCGCGACTCGATTCGCTTGTCCCACTGTAACTCGCTTTAAACAACGTATATTACTACGCGCACCGTCCCGTTGAACGGCTTTCAACCTTAAAATCGCTCAATTATCATTCCCTTGGTAGAACTTTTTCAATTTCTCATACCACGATAGTGTCTTTATCCGTCGCGCGATGCATACATTCGATAGCGTCGTTCGCATGTATGTATATATGTATTTACTACATCCTCAGATAAAAAATATAAACATGAAGTTCATATTGTATGTACATATTCGATTGCATCGAGCTTCCAAAAGTTTTTTCAGCTGTGCATGCATCAAGTCACGTTTACACGAACTGCGGCGGGAAGCAGTCCGATTAAACGCATCAATATTTGCCGAATCGGGGCCCCGACGACGTGAGCGTACGCCATGGTTTACAGAAGGTTACGCTCATCTAATACCATGTACGCGACACTGTTTCGTCACCTGCTTCTTTTTCTCTCGTGCAGTGAACCAAATACAGCGGTTATGAAACGTACCGCATCCACATTTGCGAAGTAATTTTAGTTTCAATTATACGTTTTATGTTCATAATATTGCAAAGAGATATGAAATAATTAATGTTTATATTGTATATATTTAAACGTATTATTAATAAGCGTTTAAATATTAGAGAAAATAGGGCGATGTGCTGCTTTTTGTGGCCACTGTATCTTTTACCTTTTTGCCCCTCAACGGTAGCCTCTCTCCTTGCTTCTTCGTGCCACTCGACATAGAACCACCCTTTTTCCACAACACTGTCACCGACTCTCAAGAGGGACGGAGCCACGATTCTTTCGCACACTCTGTTTTCTCTCTCTCTTTTTGTTCTCATTTTTTTTTCGCTCTGTCTCTATTCATCCGATGTGTTTCTCACCCTCTTTTTACCCCGCTGTTCACCACGTGCTACAATATCGCCGGGTCGCATCCGGTGTGACGCCTGTTATTAGGGATGGGCCAGATGAAGCTTTCATTATTCTATCCAAGAGGTTCCCCTTTCCATCCGACAACACACCGTCATAATACAAAGTAATGGTTGATTTTTTTTGCTTTCCCCTCTAATTATTATGATTATCGAGAGACCGAGGCAAATATAATGGCAACGGTGAATGATGTAATTTTTCCACGACGAGCACACGTAGCTGTTAAGTCCCCAGCGTCACCCTAAACGCGAAAACACTGCGTATGCTTTACTAATAAAGCCTCTCAGGCGTTCAATATTTGTTTCCTGCTATTATCGCAATGGAATAAATATATTGTTTATATTTAATGCATTTGTAAAAGCGGAATTAAAAAACATGATTTTCAAGTCACGCTAACCATTGAAACGCGCACGTGATACGTCGTTATAGGCGCTGCAATCCACGGTGAGTATTATATCAAATTATCAGTTTAATAGAATTGTTAGTGTTCCGGGCGTCACGATGTAGTGAAGGCACTCCGGAAGCTTACACCGTTCGCGGGTTAATTTGTGCGCCTGACTATAATTCACGTAATTTATCAATAATTTATCATTGCCACTGTTATTATTAAATAGATATTCGTGGTTGTCAGATGCATTACATCCTGTTCACCAACCAATAAAAATTTCAGGAACTAAACTTGCCGTGTAACTATGCCCGAAGTATGTACACGTATTTACACGCACACAATCTGAAGTTATCTCGTGCATCATTATTGTTACGTATAACGAGCGAGACGCTTTAATCACGGTGACCTATTATAAAAGCCGGACACGAAATCCGTGGCGAAAGCATACACGAAGTAACAAAGTCCTGATTCACAGATCCGCCGTCATCGGCAATTTACGGATCGATAGGCCCCGAAGTCGTGGTACAGCGAGACGAAACAGTTTTTCCACGGTTAACATTCGTGAAAGGATTCGCACTCGCGCGCGCGTCTATGTAATGCTTTCGCCGCGATCCCATATCTCGAAATCTTGAAATCGGGTCGGGAAACGGATAACAAGTATGCGTACGCTCCGCAAGCACGTGAACGTATACGTACTGTCATAAATAGACTGGAGATTTTACGGATTAATAGAAAAAGTGGAAATTAAACTTTATTTTAGCTCATGTTTTATAAATCTATTGGCATACTCGGATAGTAATCGACGGAAATGCAGAGTTTGAATTGTTGTGATCTGTTGACGAAGAAGTTATGAGTTGTTAAACCATAATACCTGTAATGCATTGCATTGCTTATTTTAACCCCTTGACATACAATGACGAGTTTGACTCGTCATTCATTCCACTTAATTTTTATGTCAAGGGGTTAATGTAGTAATCAGGAATATGTATTTTTATATTTGATCCACTAGTCCGTTTTATGACGCAGCGTTTGCATATCCGACCAGTCTGCTACTGGTAACAGTACTACATGACGCAACAGTTACGTCAACGGTTTCGAGTGTATTAAAATAAGGTAAACAGAAAATGGCAACTAAAAACGAAGTTTAGCTAAACTGGATGTACGGCAAATATAAAAAGTATACAGAACATTAAAAATATAATATACGTCATTATTTTAAAAGAAATGTTAAATTACATTTCAGTTTTCATAACGTAATTGTAGTAAGTACAACATAACTCTGTACATGTTTCGCTATATGTATAGAAATTGAGAATATGTATTTTATACATATGTATAATGCACGGAATACGTGCAATGTGCACGCGTGAACCATGATACATAACGTCTGTAATGCGACACACGTGACCGCATTAGCGGGACCAAACCGTGGTGCACGAAGAAACCACGCTTGGGATCGGTATCGTGTGTTCGAGGAACGACGCGGCGCGACACGGCGGCGTGCTTCTATTTTGATTGGGAAAACGTCTCGACCAGGGTGTAACACGACGAATACGAAGCAATCTTATTCTGCATTTAATCGATTGCGATTGGGACGCGTATGAAAAAATTTGTAAACGGAGAGCAAGTAATCCGATCGACGACCGATCGGCGATCGGTGTTATGCTAGTTTCTATGCCACTGAACGTGATCGGAATCGCACGCGGGCAACTCCGTACACGTGAAATTCGAACCAAGTCCCTGGAGGTCGTAGGAGATTACCTTCCCCAGGTACAAATCGTTCAAACCGCGTAACAAAGGTGTAACGCGTCCAAAGTCGCGCCTGTGAAACATTCTGTGAGAACACGGGAAACGGAAACAAACGAAAGAATAGTGCAGTAGCTTCCGTTGCCTACCTCGATCAACGAAAATTCTTTCGATGCGTAAGACAATAAAGCTTAACAAGGCCACGTACAAGCATTATACCCAGTAAAACGTATTTTAGGACCATCATAAATAAATGCTAATTACGAAGAATATGGTGAATAAAAAAGAGAGGATAGAAAAAAATTGAAAAGTAATAGTTTTATGTACGTATGTACTCACCGGATGCCTAGCGGCAGCGGCAGCTACAGCAGCAGCGTTGATTCCAGCACTGGGATACATATTTCCTCTCTAGTTTCAAACTGGTCGAAAAATAAAAACATCCGTCGTATAAGTTCTCAAATCACACGCAAGCGCTACGCTTCATCACACGTGCCACACCGTATGATAACAAATAATAACAAACAACGATAAAACAATAAAAACAGCGTAATTTCAAATCACTGTCGCGGGCTACGAAGGCGAGCGATCCTTAGGACGGCTCTGTCCGCGATTCTGTCGATGCAATTCGATCGAGAAGGTCCCAGCCTCGGATACACAAGAATGATCCATCGGTATGCTTTGCCATTCGCCACTACTACTGCATTCCCATTCGTAACGCGAGAAATTTTACCGTTCGCGAACGACAATAATTCGCATAACTAATTATCCCGACCGTCCTCTACGTTCATTGAGGTTAGACGTGACGCCGACGCCACGAAGAATCTCGTTTAGCACGAAGAGCGTGGCGTGCCCTTTATCCGTCGGTAAAACAGAACGACAATCGCCGTAAGAATATTCGAAGGAGGCTCCTCTTCTCATCCGGAAACGGAACCAAACAACAGAAACCGTTAGGTCTCCTCTCTCCCCTTATTCACGGTTTCACTTCCTTAATGTAGAAACACCATCTCACAGACACACAGCACTTAGTTGTTTACGATCTAACAGTGGCCCGCCGCCACTTTGAGGTTAAGTTTACTAACACACTGGCATGCACTCGTCTTTCCCTTTCGCAGTAGAAACTTTTCTAGTACCGAGCGTGTCACGAGCCCGAGAGAACACCACACCGAGAGCACCGTGATTGGACCGAAAACCGGTAGCACGTAATGCGAAAGCTAGCACGAAATGGGCAAAGCGCACGAGACTAACAACGAGAACAATCCTCTCTCTACAACGGCCTCGGAGCGACTGATGGACGAACAAGTGGTGGGGATTGTATCCCCTCCAGAGGAATCTTTCCCCTCCACCACTCTAGCAGGCCGTTACTCCACAGTTAAACCCGCCAAGCACCCCCTCGAATGTCTCTCCACGTCCTCGACGCTCGTATTAACCGGCGCGATAGCTCCTTCACAATTAAGTCGCGTTACGTAAGGGTCTCGAAAAGGCGAGCACGAAAATCACGGCTCGTTAAAACATCGGTATATATAAGTTCTCTTCTTCTCTCTTTCTTTCTGAGTCGTTCTCTCTGTTGCTCTTTACTTTCTCTGACACTCTCTATTTCATAGCACCTGTCAGCCAAATCGTACACTTAATCCATTGTATCGACAAGGCATGGATACGTCCATCGTGATTTCGGGAACGCTGTTAACGCGACGAGTGACCCGATCGTGCCTTTAGGGCCGTTTTAGTTGACCGTAATTAATCGGGTTTCAAATGGACGGTTATATTCGCGTTAAGCATTGCGCAATCGAACGATATATGTACATCTATTCTATTGTGTATGTACACGACCGACACGACATATGTATGTACTACAGCTCTGCTCCTCTCGACTCTCTTTGTCTGTTCCGCTCTCTCCCTGTCTCCCCAACTGCGAATTATTTTAATGACAGGGCTTTTTTTTCTCTCGTATCACGTTGACGTTCTGAAATTTTATACCAGCGATCACTACATATTTCTGTATTAACGAAAGATGATTCAACGTGCTTATTTATCAAACGTTGATTACACTCGTTTTTTTCCATTCCGCTGATGCTATTATCGCTGATACAGCGGTTTAACGAGTGTGTGCAAATAATATTTGCCGACTACATCATTCAACTACCTCTGGAATCTAGACAATTCAAAGTATCAATCTCGAGAAATGCGCGACGCAATGACTAAGACTAAGAGAACGGCACAGTTCTCGGAATACTTTTTTCGTGCTGCCGATACTGTTGCTGCCGTTCCCGGTGCCGCCGCTGCTGCTCCATTATCTTTGACGACCGGTGCTTCGCTTTAACAGATACAATTGAGGAAGATATATCGTTAGCCTGTGGGCGATATCGTGGTGTACACGCGAATCGTGTATTCCACCGGTGTATAGGACCGGTGATTTTTGCAAGTTGCAGCACGAAGACTGGAAGCCTCGAAAGTTTTCGGTCCCGTAGATACGGTCGAATAAACGAGAGGACAGGGCGCGGAACACGGCGTGCCATGCATACGCGTAGGTATTAGTTGCTTCTCTCGGTTCGCTCAGCGTGTGCAAACAAATCGAAAGTTTTTCGCAAAATGGCCGTCACCGGGCTGACACGGATGTCCGCATAAACTCTTTCTCTCTCCCTCTCTCCTCTTTTCCCTTGCTCACCCAACTGGCCGCCGACTGGCTGCCTCTCTCGCCACTCGTGATTTCCCTCACTTCCCACACCACCACAAATATGGCGCCTCTACCCGTTTTCCCAACCCCTGCAACGTGCCTCTATAAAGCGAGAGCAACGTGCGAAGCGGAAAAGGGAGAGAGAAACAGGGGCCAGAGCGAGAGGGCGCGAACCGTGGATGGAATATATGTACATGAGCATCCGATGCGATTGTGTCCGAGTATCCATGTGTAGCGAGTGTACGAGATCCTATACGTGTGGCAAGGGGGTGCCCCTATGTGAATATCGCGCAGCACACAGTCCCAAGCAGTTTCCTACTTGATTGCCGCTATCGTCCGCTCGCTTCGTAAAGGAACTAGTCCGCGCGGACTATAGGTCGTCGCCTACGACCAATCGCAGACCGTCTCGCCACGACTTCACCAATCGTGCAACACGCCAAACCTACCACATGACCCAACCGCTGCAAAGAGTCGAATGAACGCGTAGCCCTGGCCAATGGGAGCGTAACTTTTTGAATTGACACGAGCACGTTCGATCCGCGCGGAGCGTTGCTCGAGCTCCACGGATGTTCCTATACGGAATGAAGGTGCTACGCGAAGCCGCAGCGAAACATGAAAAATAGGGGGCTACATGAGGAAAAACACGGACCCGGTCGGCAAGGAGGAGGAGGGCAGGCACACTGTGGGATGTAGATCCTACGAACCGAGACACCAAAGGCTGGCGCGGTCGTGGTTGTGTGTATAGGGCCATCCAAGAGGGAGAGGAGGATGTCGAGGATAGAGGCCGAGGATGAGAATGGAAAAGTAACATAACGAAACGTCGATCCCATTACCTGAAGCTCTTTCTCTCTCGTTCACCCTGCTATGCCGCCACCATACGCCAAGCCCCGCTTTCGACCCTTAATCCAAAGGAGGATTAGAAAACCCCATTGTCATGCTTCGCGGAACGCGGGATGGGATATATACATACATATGTACAGAAAAACACTCCGCACAATTTCTCCCCACCCGGTTTTCTCTGCTCACTCGCCTTCCTTTCGCAACCGGTGGCAGTGGTGTGTAGGAACCCTCCTAATGAAATAAATACGTGACGTGCCGCGCTAGCGACGATGCGATGGTAGTTCTGTTTATCGCCAACCGTGAATTTTTTGCGCGAATGCAAACGCTCCTGTGACCCCTCCTCATCACTCTCGCCAGTTCTACTCGCTCGTCTCGTCTACTCTCGTTTCACTGTTTTCCTTCCTTCTTTCGTCCCGTTCCAGCTCGTTTCCGTTTCCCTCGGCCGCTCTTTATCTCGTATATACCACGGGGCAAAGAAGGAATATAAGGCACAGTGCCGTGGAGTGTTGGCGAAGCTGTCGGTCGCGCTTGGCCGGCTGCGGTTTATGCGGAGACGCCTTGCCCGCCGCCTGCCGCAGCCGGTTTGCGTGTTCGCCCATGTTCGCTCAGTGGATACGTGTCCTCGGCGTGGCTCAGTGCTCACCGAACGACCGTGGATGCTACGGAGAGTAAAGAGGAGAGATCGAGGGACAAAGGGTGAAGAAAAGAGAGAGAGAGAGAGAGAGAAACTCTGAGAGCGTCGAATAAGAGCGGGACGAATTCACGCGGTGAAATGTGAGGGCGAGGGAGACGAAGCGCAAGCAGAACCAGTCGCTGCGGTCGCTGCGGCTAACCACGCCGGTGCTCTCAACCCACGGCGACCTCGCTTAACCGCATCGAAGAACACTACAGCCTCTAGGATAGCTTCCAACCTCCGTTGCCGCGAGTCTCGAGAAGTTATCTTATTTCTTCAACCCTTTGACGATTCAGTGAAATTACGAATTGTAATAAGACCATTTTTCTTTAATAAAACCTTGAAATAAGAATATCTTTGTTTACGATAAGAAATGTAAGAAACCATTTTACGTCTAAAAATCAAATAATTTGAATCAGGTACTTTGTCATTTATACAAACTTTTGAACTCGTACTTTGAAAGAGAAAAGTTATAGCATAGTTTTAGCTAATCATGTGACATTTCTAGAAGGTGAAGAGTATATTTACTTCATAGTCTTAAAACTGACATGCAACCATATATTTATATAATTATGTAGTAAATTTATATTATTATAATTATGCAATACTATATTTATGCAATACTGCAATTACTATAATTTTGCAATAAATAAACGAGTGCAATTAAATTTTGCAGTGAATTCTTTTCTCTCCCTTAAACATATACGTTCATTTTTATTTCGCATCTGATATGTTTATCATGGCAATTAATTAATATCGCTTGCATATGCTCGGCAATATATTTCTAAAATCGTGTTAATTAATGAACTAAGTAATTTGTGCTCATGTAGGAAAGAGGTGTATTTCGGGGGACTATGCGTTTCTTTGATTTATAGTCGTACTCACTATATCTATTGCAAAAGAAGTTATTTGTCACAATGTTAACATTGCTTCGGCTGTCATTGTATAGTTGGGTTCATCTGCTATTTGTAGTCATTGGTACGCGAGAATTTCCTGCTCAGAAAATCGTGGAGGAAAACGTCGAGGAGGTTGGTTTAATTAATTATAATTGGCTGAGTGCATTGGGCAACCGCCACTTCTCTGGACCAACGTCCACTTCATCCGTTGCCACGAGAGGGGAAGATCTAAGAGCTTGACTTCTGCTTGAATGGGAATACGTACGGCCTCGCCAAGCTGAAGAGGATTTGCGAGGATGATGGGGCGGCTCTGCGGGCTTGCCCATTAATACACGTATTTGAAAGAATTCAGTTTCAAACGGACCTCCAAAATAATTGAACTTCGAATGGCGGCAAATATCTCGTGATTTGTATACCGAATAAGCATCGACCAAACCCATTCGGACCAAACAAAATATTAATCATCTTTATTAATCATGAAATCGAGTGATTAAACG